GACAAAAGAATACATATCATGAGTGAATATTTCTCACGTGTTCCGCAAACCAGCCATTCCACCCTATCACAGACTAAAAGTCACGTCATCAGATACTTATTGATGCACGTTAACTAGTCAGAATATATTTCTCACATCTTACATTTGTAATTTAATGGTCATATGAAGTGAGTATCTTATTTGGCGGTAGTTTATGATCTTACTGCCTTTTCTATCAAGTAATGAATCTTTATCTTCTCAGTCAGTCTTCCGTGTGAGAATAGTAGTTCAGTTATCAGTCGCATATTGTCAAGCGTTGAAGCAACAAACAACAGAATGAACCCAAATCCAGTATTTTTCACCTACACAACAACGGCATTTATCATTATTTTATTTGTATGGTTATCAGAACGATTTTATTTGATTGCATGGAGGATTTCATCATGAGCTGACATCAGTTAGAGAACCCCTGGAAAACCTGGGAGTACTGGACAGTTGTTTCGTCCTCGTTTGGGACTCTTCATCGGTACGCACCCACCGGGATTCGAACCCAGGGCCTTCTGGTTATAAGGCGAGCTCGTAGACCATTGAGCCACTGTCTTAATTAGTTTCACTATCATTATTACTCATCACAGCTGAATTCGTAATATTTTCAAGTTCTCACCCCGAAAACTATTCGTTTATTACAGTGATGTAACAGAACTATAATCCACTCAGTCTCTCACAATCCTTCACCCCTTTTACGTATCTGAACTTAATTTGCAAAACATTTTACCTCCCGTTTTACTAGGATTGCTTCATTGTGATTTATTTATTAGTCAAATTCCTACTTATGTATTTTTCATAGCATATATAACACTGTATGTAGGATATTCGACTGAGTAGTTCTGCCCAAACTTCATGAATTCATTAAATCTTTTAATTTTCAAGTGTTGGTTTGTAGGGTTTTGATCGTTTTCAGATTGGATGGCATCAATTACAGAATGATTGAAGACTACAGAGTTTTGGACAGTTGTTCCGTTTTAGTTTTCAACTCTTCAGCAGTATGTACCCATGACCCTACTGAGAATTGAATCCAGAACTTCAGGTTACGAGCCCATCAAACTGACAATTCACCCATTAGGATGGAAGTCAATGATCCATGAAATCTGACCTTTGTCAATTCACGATTTATAGCATCACAACTAGTTAATGTCATAGGCGAGTATGTCCTCACTCCTAGAACTGGTGGATTTTTATAAACTCATATATGAACTTGTCAACAAATCTACAACAATTGAATAATGAACATGGCTGGAAAGCCGCAGACGATTGGAAAAGTAGTATATACTAACTGTAATCTTGGGAGGCTTAAAAAATTTCGAAATGAATATCTCTGTTAAATTTTCCAGATTTTCGTCTGCATAAAAGAAAGTATAATATTTGGATTCTTAGTTCTCCAACTTCTAGTCCTCTGACAGAAGATTAATAATTTCTGAACGATATGAATTATGAGAGCACACTGGTAAAGATATAGAAAAATACAATATATGCGGCTTTTCGAAGCAATGAATGAGCTTCTTCGAGTTAACAGGTTCTGATAGACTGAGTATTGTTGAGTAATGATGCTAGAGTACGTGTATATTATCCATCAACCCCTAGATGTACTTATTCGACATTAACCATAGAACAGCTAGTAAGCAGAAGAATTAAATCGTCCAAAATAAAAAATATTATTTAGGTATCAATATTGTTGGGCAGTGATGCATGCTCAGCTAGCACAAGATCACGCAGGAACTCAATGTAACACGGTAGCATGTCAAACAGAGTGGGAACTTGACTGCATACCTTCAGCTTAGCCAGTGAAGGTCAAAACTCAGTGTTAAAAGTAGATGAAAACCATAAGCTGGTAACTTTAGGAAATTATTTACAGCTACAAGGTTTATCTTAATCGCATTCTTATCAATTCCATTTTACTGTTTCATTTGCTAGATTCAACTAGATGTCCAGTATCGACGACATGAGCTAGTACTGAGCTGTCTATAGCTTTATTCTAATCTTTGCCAAACCAAGTTGGGTGAGGTTCAGAAACTGTACAGTGAACTTCCCTGACCACACAACCAAAGTAACTAACTCCGCGTGATATCAGATTGACTCTAATGAAGCTTTTAAAGTTAATTATCGTATTTCACTGAACCTTTTGCATACTCTACGTGTACGACTTTTACGTACAACAGAGGTAATCAGAATTCAACTGAACAAGCCAAATATGTGTGTTCGAGAGAAAATTATCCAGCCCTTTTCTTTGTCATGGCTAACCACATAATATGTAGTAAGTTTTGCAGACGACTTTCCTCTCCGCTTGTAAACTTCTTATGTTATTTTATTATGATCACAATTCCAGCTAATTCAGTTTACTTAAATGTATCGTGGTATTCTTTCGTAATTCTACTTAGTCATTCTATTTCTCTTAGTCATCATTATTTCGCAGATTTTTCGATTATGTAGTAACCTGTTGCTAGCCTCTAGAGATTTATTGATCTTGGATTCCGTAATAATTTTCACCCTTCCCTTCAAACTTAGATATATTGTTGTTAACATCTACTAGTTAATTGTTTCGATTTTTAATCTCTTATTTTCACCCTCCACACCTAAAACTGACAACTCCTGTTGACTGAAATAACCACATGAGTGATATAATTTTGATGCAAAAACTATATTAGTATAGACCCCATGATGGGGAATGAATTGAAAAGGAATGAATTTCTTCGCTCAGTTTGTAGTTATTATTTTTCTACCATGTTTGATATTTCGTAACTAAGAATATCGATCTCATTTTATGTACCATTATTCTATTTGGTCTCTATTAATTATCCTCTTATGGTTAAACGGTGTCTAATGTACATATTTGCTTTATATTGCATTCCTTGTTAAACATTGTTTATTCAAATCCCTTCATTCTTGATTTGTACATTTTCACGTTATTTTATTTAATGACTGTGGATCACCTTCAACACATCCCTGCTGTTTTCCCTCATAACACAAAGTGACAGTCTTTTTGACAGTATCAAGCCGGTGTACCACCTCACAATTTGGGATTCTTATATTCTATTTATATTTATATGTAATATAATGTATAATATATATACACAAATTCTGTGTTTTCTGTTTTTACACGTAACTAAAACGTTTGGTTCATTTAATCAAAATTTCGACGATTCAAATTGTCATTCAGGATTACTTAGAAGAAAGTTGTATACCACTAAGGATGCATCTTTTTTCATTTTTATACATCAAGCCGTTCAAGGAGAAGAATCTAAACGCATCATTCGTTTTAAGGTTATAAAAGTACCAATATCTTAACATTTCAGTTACTACTAGGATCACATCCCATTGGGACTTGTATTCACTTCCGTAAAACACTCAATAACACTGTTTAAAACCAGTTCTAACATAATACAAATGTATTCGATAATGAGTCAAATTAAAGAATAGCGACGAGGGAGCACAAATGCACCAAAGATCTTGAACACACACACACACACAAACATTATGCTTTGGATCACACAACCTGACAATTTTTAGCGATATTATGCACAATGTGTACGAGTTGAGTAGCATATTTTATCCAGATTTCAATTTTCCATAAAGGGTAAGACGTACACGTCCATGCATAACCAACAGTGTTCAGAAGCTATTGATAGACATGTATTTAGGTGTACAGATTGTGGAAGAAGGATAGGTGTTCGAGATGGTAAGTTACTTAATTATATAATTCATTCACCCATTGCTAGGAACTTCCTTTTCTAAATCGGAATTATCACTTTCAGATAAACTTTTCATTTTCTATTATTCGGCAGTTAAGAGTGAATTGACAGCTACGGCCACACAGATAGAGAAATCGTTGGTGCCTACTGTACACTGATATCTACATTAAGGAGATGTGTGGAAGTAATGATCTTTTACCATTCATTTAAAGGTCACTGGTTCCTGGTGCCACCATTCACACATACGAATGGGCAGGTTGCAATGGTTTATCATCTTTGGGTCATCTTCATCATGAAGATAATTACTCCACTGATTTCGTCGATCCTGTTACTGGAACACATACCGATTCCATCAACGAATACAGGGAAAGGCGGAGAAACAGAATACGTGCAACTAGTGAATCCCAAAGTGGAGTTATTTATAATCATCTCGATAAGTACATTTAGAGAAATAGGATTAAATTTAGTATTGACTCTGTTAATTACAACTGACAGGAATTTTTTAGGTAATGTAAAGGAGAAATTTCCTGTCTAATATATTTTATTGGCACATGAAAAAAGTATTTCCAACAGACTGCAGACTTTTATCAACAGCTGCCTTTGCTCCATACTGACAGATCAAATGGCTAGAAATAATTAGCAACAAACCAATCAAGAACCTATCGTTCAACAAACATGCAAAAGAAAATGGAGATGGATTGCACACGCGCTGAAGAGACCGTCGAATGAAATCACACGCCAAGCCTTCGAGTGGAACCCGAATAGGAAACGACAAGTGCGTCGTCTGAGGGTGACATGGAAGACATCGTGTAAGGAGGAGATCAGAGATTATGGGTAATCGTGGGCCCAGCCAAAGCGGACAGTAGAAAATAGAGCAAAGAGGATATGTGTTGTTGAAGCCCTATGTTTCACTCGGAATCCAAGGGAACAATAATAATTTATTTTATTATTATTACTTCCATTTGTCTTGTAAATATATGGCATTTTTAAGTAAAACAGCACTGCTTTTCGCGTTCGCATTACTTGGATCGATATTTTTTTAATTTCTCCTAGTAATGACATTACCATTCCTAGACTTACTCAGTATGAATTTCTGCTCAAGTGTAGATATTCCTCATTGACTTAATCACCTGACCTACAGACAATCGGTTCCAAATTTAAATTCAGCTCCACCTACTTCAGCCTGGGTAACTGGGTAATACTATTAGCACTGACACAAAATAAGTGTGTGCATCATGGCTTAGTACATGAGAAGTCTGTTCCGATCCTCAAGTGCTCCAAGTAAAATACAATATTGCAGGATGTATATTTAAAACACTTGATTACTATTATTATTCTCGAATACAAAATATATTACAGCAATCAAATCTGACAAAAGAAAACAACTCTTGATAAATTCTCAAGTTATGGTTTGTAGGGAATTGATGAATTTAAAAATAAGATAACGAATTAACACTGAGAACCAGGAAGTACTGGAAAACTGTTTCGTCCTAGTTTCGAGTTCTCCATCCGTCCTTGGGTTCCGTCAAAGTGATTGAATTGTCATCGGGATTGCATCGTAATCCCAAGGTTCTAGTTTCGATCCCCAGTAGGGTCACAAGTGCGACTTAAACTAGGTTGAAACAGTTGTTGAGTATTTCTCGACTTTTAGTAGTCCTCTAATTGATATCAATCCGTGACCTAACTTGAAATTTAGGATTAGGCATAATTTTCGAATTCAAAATAGATGTGTTGATCAAATAAGCTGTGCATATAAATATAAAAATCACATGGCTGCATTTTCGTGATATGTACAGAAAAAAGGAGAGTTACATCTCGTGTTTAATAGACCAAAACTTAATACATCCATCATCAGAAGCTGTTGTAAGCATTAGATGAGAGTCTAATACATCTTCTTCCTTATGGTTATTATCACCAGTATGATAATGAGGTTGCCAGCGCACACAGTTTACATCTTCTGAATGTGCATTTGGAACATGACCCCAAAGAACAGGTGGTTCTGATAAGCATGGTTTACCAGCATTATGAGTCAAACCATTCAGTGGCATTTTATATATACATAATCTATTATCAGCACCACAACTAGCCAGAAGTTGTCCATCAGGTGACCTGTTATAAAAGAAAAAGAGAGAAAAAAGAGACTAGTGTTCATTCTACTTCATAACATCAAGAATGGAAAGAGAAAAACACAACGGCACATCTAACAGAGTCAAAAACACCCACTGTCAAGTCGTGATTACTAATGAAACAATCATTACCGTTATCATTAATAAAGTGTGGAAAAACGAATGCTTTAGACTTAGGCTTCATGTTTATTGGTACCCAATAGCAGTCTGGGCAGAAACTTGTTTTGAAACGCCATGAGTTTTGAGTGAAACATATGGCTTCAGTCTTGAGACCTTGAAGCTTCAATAGCCGTGAGGCTGTTTTTACAGAATGAAGGTGTTAACCCAACACCCAATCAACTCTCTTTTCCGGACGACATTTAGGAGTGCATTGTTCACAAGCATTCTACCAATGAACAACCAACGCGAAAGAGTATTATCCACTAGGGTCACTTTTGAAGAAACCAAAAGGTAAAATCGTATGTGAGTGAGACAAATAACCAGTTGAGGAACTAAACGATGATAATCCAATGCAGCCATTAAGCCTCAAGTTCTGATAATATCTTATGCTTATTAATTTGGTTCATAACGCCTAAGTACACAGATCTCTAGATAGTTGTTGGTTGGGTGTTTCCATCACGCATCGTCGCTGATTTGAAAAATAGTCACGATGTATACTTAGGACGGAAATTAGGTAGGATTTTTCACTAATTTATTTTGTTTTATTGCAAGCCTAGAAAACACGATCTTATTAACAACAACCAGTGGACTTCATCTGTATAAGAGATACATCAACGACAATTAAATTATTTGTGATGTGAATTCGAATCTTGAAAACTTGCTACAAGCATTCAATAACGCCCACCCGGATATAGACTTCCCTCTAGAAGTAGAATTCGACTAAACTTTTAATTTCCTTGGTGTTTAACTCTTAAAAAAAGAATGATAATGAAAAGATCTACTCACACAGAAAAAAGAATCTCATTCATTTACTTTCATCAAGGATCCCAAAAATATGCATTGAGGAGTCCTCTGACAAAGAACTGTTTGGAGAATCTGGATGAAAAATGGCTTCTCCACCCGCAGATTCAAAGACTATAACCTAAAACTAAAGGACGCAGATAAACAAGTTCTAGATTGTCCCCAAATGTTTCCGCCTCTGAATCTTGAATCTAAAAGGGATAGGGAGATACAAATTTTCTGAAAACGGCCTTCAAAATCTCTCAGTAAAATATACCTCGCTACCGTTTTCCGAATGACGTTTTCTTGCAAGCAACTATTCGGTTTTATTAAGCTACTTAAATGTGCAAATATTAGTTCGCTCACTTCTGCGAAGCTGAGTACATTGGTCATACTACGTGTCCGCTTGTATACACTACTCAGGCTACATAGAAAAGGCAGAACAGAAGTTTTCCTTCAGCTTGACAGCTTAGGACACCTAATTCCACTTTAGAAGTCCTTCACATTCCTATACAAGATACGATCTAACCTCTTGAAGCGAATAAGATCAAAACATTTGGGCATAACTGAAGTACTAGCGATCCGAAAACTTCAAGCTAACTGCAGGTATCTGAAAGAAGGAAGTTCACCCTTTGAATTTGTCATGATTATAATATGCAGACTATTTTCTCAAAAAAATCATTAATATTCGACCATGGTTATTATCCTAACTTCCTATTTATTTCTATTTTTAAATCCCTATTTGCTGTATTACGTAACTTCATCTTGTTGTTCGTTGCTTTTTGACCTCTGATCGAAAATGGTTCTGGAACTTTTTCAAACCTTTATTATATATTCTCGGGCTTAATTGATGACTTTTTTACTGGAACCATCCTTCTATTTATTGTGTCCCCAGTTAGATTGTTTTCGAAAGCTAATTGAGAAGAAAATCCTGTTAAACTGAACTGCTTCACTTAGCGCTATGTATGTATCAACTGCAAAGAAAATCCACGATTAATACAAGAAGACAATTGAAACTCACCAGTTTAAGTCGAAAATTGTACGTGTATGGTATCCAGTCACTGTAGCAATACATATCCATGAGGATGATTTGCTACAAACACCTGGAAGACAGAAAGATAAATGAAAGGTGTAAAATCAAAGTCGAACATATTGACCTCTCAATCAATTTAATCATATTAAGGGTATAAATTAAATGTAAAACAACCTACTTATGTATTTATATGATTGAATATCAAAGTGGGATGTGTTTTTAATGACAGAAAGAAACATTCAATGTGTTGAGTTACTGACATCAACTAGTAGACTAGAATCAGTCGGAAACCAAAAAGACAAACTGAGAACCAAATAATGGTGTATATTATTGACTGATAAATGTGTGTTGGGAACCACTCACGTTAAATAGTAGTGCTTCCTAACCAAAGAGAAGCGATCTAAACACCGAAAATATATATTTTGCTCGCTTGACATCGAGCTCACCGCAAGCGTTGCACTCAGGGCAACCAATCTCAGAGAACCGAATCGGTTCAAAACACCCGAATTAATGGATGCATGGTTCCTAAGCACCACTACTACTTATATCGATCAGTAGTATGTACAATCCTGGAATACTTCACTTGCTTTAATGACTAACATGATATCAGACAAGTGAATGAAAGCACAGAAAGTCAATAATTTTAATCGAAGGGTTAAACAGAACACTGTTATACATCAGACTCCATAGATGGGAGGACAATGATGATGTCTTTATTCTGGACAGTATTTATAAAATGTACAGACTTTTCAGAGGAGTTTATTGCATGATATTTTCCCTCCATACAATATCTTCAAGTAAAATATTATTTGAAAGTATACCCTGTGAAACGATGGCCTCTGAGCTGAAGCACAAACCATTTCATTATGATGTATCTCCTTTGTCTTCTTCAAGAAATCCACGATATCTGGTTGAAAGTCAATTGTAAGATGTTCAGAAGTACATTTGAGACCCAAACATACACCTGAAGAACAGTTATTTAATGCATTGGAACACGTTGCCACCCACAATCAGGCCATTTCTCAAGTTTAGTAGGAACTTGCGAATCAGGAGCTCGTAAACACTTTAAGTACACACAAGAGTAGATAATACCAATAGAGGTCATATCCTAACCGATTAAAACAAACTGAGAGAGAAAATATATGCAACAAAGAGATGGAAGTTTTTGGTAGCCTAAGTTTTAAGCCTCCTCGAATGAGTCAAACTTTGAAAAAGGAGATTAGTTTGTGGCGTATGAACAATGGATGCTAGGTAACCAGTAATTCGGAAGCAGAAAAAGTAAGCAATGATTATAATCCTGAAAATGACTTCGTGTATGGCTGTGGACAAACAACGTGATGTTAAAAACCATTTTCCTAATAAAATTAGATCACATAGTGTCAACATTTATCTTATGACTATATAAAGCCCACAAATCACCCTTTAAAAAAACACTGATTTGTTGACTGCTGTTTAATCATATAATACGTATGGGTATAACAGAAAGCATACCTTCCACTTGTTGTATGCCAACATGTAAAATGAATTAAAAGCTAAGCTCGATTTGACTTAAACCGTGAGATGATAGGAGAAAAATACACAAGTAGTTGTCAGTTAGCACGCTGTACCATCGTCACACATATTTTTTCCACAGAAAACATAAACTCAAAAAATTTCAAACAATAAACATGGATATAGGTTGATAAAAAGTCCTGTTGTGATTTTCATTTAGCACAAAGGTTTAGTGAGAGGAAAACCGAAGCCAATGATAACATGTTCACCATCGAGCCACTGAATCGATGATCTTTCTCATATCCTACCCAGAAAATCATGATATGCTAACTGTACACAACTATTCTTCATCACTTGATACTATGCAATGAACTAACTAAATCTGTTTATGTAACTAATCACAAGGTTATCAAATAGTATGGAAGTCGCTGAAATGAAATTCTTAGCAAATATGCACATCGCCAGCCAGCAAGAACTTCAAATAGTCTGATATGTCAGCCAGTATTCGAATATATCACTTATTTCCCGAAATCAGACTTCACCAATAAAGCTTAACGGTTGAAATAAGAACTGAATGCGCTGGGGCAAACATGGTTTACCTTGAAGCAATTGATGAGTGCCAACAGGCCAAAAGTCTAGAACAAATAGGACTTCACAATGAGTAACTATTAATATCTCACATCCCACTATAGTGTACTAGGCATTTACAGCTAATTTAGATCATGGGCATTTTGGAACTTGGATTAATTTTAATTTAGATTTCATCACAAACAGCCATCAATTAGTAAATCATCATGGATCGAACCCAGGATCTCCAACTTACGAGACCAGCTTGTTGACCGTTCAGTAATTTAAGCTGAAATTCAATGACCAGTGGATTTTAACCCTAGCTGGCCGTTGCGCTATATATCCCAAAATGGTAGGAATTAAAATTCATGTGCCACTGGATTGCTTGCCAGCGTCTGAACGGTCAAAGATCTCGCTTCCTAACCTGGAGGTGCTGGGTTTGATCCCTGTTGGGATTCGGAAGTACACTGGAACGAAACAGCTGTCCAGTACCCTTCGATTTCCAATGACCCCATAACTCCTTTATGTTCATGACGAAATCTACTTCAGGCGGTAGCTAATGAGCCAATAGATTCTACTCCGATAGCTCGTAAGACAAAGTTTTGAGTTCGAACCATCATGGGGTCAGGGGTTCACATTACTGAGGAGTCCCGAACCAGGAAAACACAGCTGTGTAGTACTAACTGAGATTGATTCGGAATAATATATATACATACATGTATACTATTTTGAATCTACCGTTGACTGGTTTTATTAAACGGAAATGTTCAGTCTCTGTTGACATGTCAGCTTCTAGTACCAACGCTTCAACGATGCCCTCAGACTGACACAAAGTTACTTGACTGGTGGTAGCTAGCCAATATACAGCATAACTCCTTTTTCATTCTTTTCATAAAAATTCTTGCAAACTGAAACATAAATCTTCTCTAAACAGATCTTTCAAATACACAACAAATTCCATCAAACTGTACTAAGAGCTAAGGACAGTAAAGTCAGGAATCTGTGTTAATTCATAATTAAAAAATAATAATGATCCATGACTCTGAAGAAACCTACGCGTTATCTTTGTTTACCCTGGCTGATCCTAGTTAGAAACTTTACATCTCCATTCTCCTAAATATCCTCTGATTCAACTACGTTTTAATGGCATCAATCTCATTCTGAATTTGTATTTATTAATTTTTGAATCTCAGTCATAGTTGTATCCAAACCAAATTATTTACATTGTATCAGCCGTTCACTCCCTTATACAGTTTATGGTATGTGGATAAAACTAGCCTAGTGTACAATGAATATTTTCAGAAAATATGTTGCTGCCAGGAAGTGCATATTCAATGACTACATTGTACTGAAACAAAATATCTGTCTGTGTTTATTGAAATTTTACAAACAAACAAACAAACAACAAAATTATTTTTCTACTAGCACTAATTTGATTATATGTGGTAAAACACAGAAAACATTTTAAGTGAATAAAAATAAAAACACCCAGAATTGTAACAAACCACGTGAAAAAACAGTACAGCTGGTTTTGTGTATTACCATTGTTGTACTAATTTAGGGACAGTTTTGCTAACACTTTATTATTTCTGTCTAACTCTCTCTAGATTTAATTTTATCTGCATCACAATTGGAAAGCAGTATTCCCTTCTCAGAACCTTTCGAGTAATAGAAACCAGTTATATCTTCTACACTGTTATCCCTACTTCATTTCACATCAACCAATTTACCATCTCCACAGTCCAAAATTGTACTGTCTAACACATCGGCTATATTTGCGTTTCATAATCCCTCTCCCACTTATAACTTTCCTTAGCATTGCTAGTCATACTTCTATAAAATGACAAGCCAGATTACTGTAATGAAACATTTTCAAAAACGCTCATTTTTCTTGTTTCGCTAAACAGCTTAAGTCCTTGGTAGTTCGATACACTACGGAACTATGTCAGATTTGCATGCATCTGTAAGAAGGGCGCGCAAATATTGTAAATAATAATAATTATTATTATTTATTCAGTTGTTCCTTTCCGAGTGGAATATTAGGACCTACGCAACAGACTTATATTTCGCCAACATGACCTTCAACCGGCTCCACAACTACCTCGTACGCTTTCGTTTCTCCTTCACATGACCTTTTCCCTGTCAACCATAGACTCCCAACTCATCATCTTCCACTCGAGGATCTGTCGTGCTAGTCACTTGAAAGTCACCTCAGCGTATTCTCAAACCATATCCATTTACGCTATGCCATATATGTTTACCAATAGGCTGTTGGTTGGTTTACAGCCTGCCAAACTCCCTTGTTGTTCGCTTATCTCTTCTCGCAGGCTATCTGATCTTCAGTGGTGAAAGAAGGCAGATTTTGATGAAAGTCTGCAGTAGCTTATGGGAAATGCTCTTGGTGACGCACATATCAAGTCTCTGAATCGTATAGAAGCAGTGACTAACCCGGGGTCAGTGTTAAAAATTCAGATCTTGTTGATTGTGCTGAGTAATGTGGATCTCCACACCGATTACTTTCCCAATTCTGACTGCAATAATAACACTTTCTGTATCCCATGCGCTTAGTGTAATTTAAGTATATATATATATATATATATATATGTGTAATGGCAGATATTCATCAATGTCTCAAATTAACAACAGTCAGAATTCACGTATTGGCCAATGGACTGATTTCAGCTTATCAGCTAAACTGTAGCGTGCCTGTTGTGCAATCCAATAGCTCTGCGTTATATGTATGAATATACATTGCTACGGTGTCGCAAACTTGTCTGAAGCAGTTGTCTAGCTTTTTTCCCGGTTTTCAATATTTATCTAGTCTCAGTTGATTTATTCACAACTTGGAATCAAATACATCAGCGCACAAACTCAAAAGCTAAATAAAGATACCAAGAAGCTTACCATCCCACGACCAAAGTTTGACACATCGATCATCACTACAACTCGCTAGAATATCTCCTGACGGTGAAAACTCTGCTTTCCATACAGTTGAACTGTGTCCAGCTAAAAAGAGAAAATCACAACCACACAAGAAAAGAATATTAACTGTGTGCCAAATAATCCATATCAGTTATCTAAATGTTACTCTGATGTGCATAAAATATAATCGGAATACATTTATCTTAACAGTGTTGTACTGTGTGTGAGCTCCTCTTATTCTTTAGACTCTCAGAAGCTTAATAGCTACTCATCAATTGTTCCTTGAGTTTTGAATAGAAGATAGGAAGTCATTGGCACATATCCACTGCACTCCATCCTTTATCATCGCTTTCATTTGGTTCAATCACTCCCTGGTTTCACTTCCTCTCCACATGATTTTTTCCATATCATCCTTGGACACCCAACTCGGCGTTTTCCATTTGGCTTCTACTCGATGGCCTGATGTATGATGTCACTTATAAATCTACTCAGCGTATGTTTAATCCATTTTCATTTCTTTCTGTGTATTTGCTGGCTCACCGTTAGAGATGTTAACTGGGTACATTACCTTCATGATTCACTAGACAAGATGAATGAATAAATTCTACACATTTGAAAACGAAACAAGATTCTCCAGAAACTCAACAACTCCCTGAATTTATTTTTGCAGACGGAAAACGTAGAATATATTTTTGAGCTACTAAATAGGCAAAACATTACCTAGTTTGCTACCCAATCCACAACCAGGAAAAAAGTGAAGCTCATGGGGCTACTATGATAATACTATATGATAGGTAACTCAAAACAGGAAGCTCATCAAAGCATTTGAAATGAAGAAAAGAGTAGAACAAAGTTGCCTACCATTGCCGATGACCTTTCTGATTCTGACAGAGTGGATCATATGGTGGTTTATGGAGAATAAGGAGACGCGAACACAAACTGACCCCTGAAAACTTGGATTTCACGGATGATTTATGTCTTGCGTCACGCGAGCTCGGAAATTTAAACGTGAAAACCAACAACTTGGCGGATGAGACTGCAAAAGCTGAACTTCAAATGAACATGAACAAAACAGTGGCTATGAAGACACCTGACTAACAAAAACCACCAGTCACGACCAATGGGAGAAATTGAAAAGAAGTCATCTCTTAAACCCACCTCGGTAGCAACATACCAACTACAGACTGTCAAAGTCAGCTAGAAGCATATCAGGAAGGTAATACGGGTATTCATTACTCTGAAACATACGGGGATATCTACAGCATCTCGTACAAGTAACAAGATAGGAATTTTCAACAAAAATTTCAAGTCAGTGCTCCTGTATGGTTCAAAGGACTGGCATGCGCGTCACCAAAATCATTTCCAGCAGGCTACTTGCAGACTTTTATTACCAACTGCGTTCCCTCAGTAACAAAGACCAGATGGTCAGACATATATCAGAAGCAACAAGGAACCACGGCGGATAGTAAGCCAGACAACAACCTACTGTGCAAAACATATGCGGAAGGAAATGGAGATGGATTGGACACATGCTGACGATACCTGTAAGTGACATCACACGACAGATCGTTAAGTGGAACTAGAGTGTGAAGCGACTAACAGAACACCCTGAAGTGATTTGTAGAGAATTATATGAAGAGGAAATAAAATAAAAGCTTGTTGGAAGGCGTGGAGACAGATGCAAGTGATATCAGAGAACAGAGTACGCTGCACTGCACTCGATAGAAATGGGACACAAGATCGACTTTGATACGACTGAGGTTCTACAGAAAGGTTTTAGTTCGTATAAAGAAAGATTGACTGCGGAAGCCCCACATATATGGGTGAATCCCAAAAGTTTGAACAGACCTGAAGGTATGACGTTAGCTGATGCATGGCAAGTCCTGATTAATAAATAAAAACGGATATGTATCACAAATCAATCATACTTGATCGAAATGCCCGATTGTCTGTATCTTCTTACAGAGAGGCTAACAAATGATTTACAATTGTTGTCACATACACACATGCACACACACACACCATTGTATAACAAAAGTAGACTAATATTTGTAAGTCTGAGGTTAAATTTTGATCACAGTTCATGCAATTTTGTTTATTACATTTTGATGTCTGTTTCATGACTCATATAACTAGACAAAGCTTTTTTTAAAACAAAAGATGTCCTTTTTCTACATAAACCTTTGTTATTTTAATTTCGATTAATTTCCCTGAAGAAGTGGGAAACGTTGGAATTACTCATTTCAATTTTGCTGAGATTTTACGAATATAATTTCTATAAGAATATAATGAAGATGTGCAAGGGTTGAGTAATAAGAAGAAGAAAAAGCACACTCAAAGGTATATTCAGAAAGATATCCTCAACTCTACTCTATCGCACATCACCTCATACAACGGCATACCAACACAATAACAAGCAATAATGAAGAAATATTTCCTGGGCATATCAAACTACTTACGAGTACACAAATAAATTTCGTTAAATATTATAATCACGGTAGGCCAGCATAAAAAACGCAATCCAGAAAGTTTATGCAACTTCATTAAAAACCCTAGTGTAACTTATGAAATTTTACAAGAATATTATCAGGTGGGAAATTCCTCCTATCCAAGCTTTTTTTGCATAAGAGCATATGTTGCAAATATCAAGCAGGAGGTACTACTTTCTTTACAGCAGTTACGAATAATTTAACATCTGGGTTAACTGCGTAGTGATTTGAAGCTACAAAAGTTTAGCAGCATAACCCTCTATTTACAGTTGATATGAATTCCCTAGTGGGTAAAACAAAGAATGTTGTCACCTTTAACTACTAGAACTACAGTCCCTGTGTGATCTAGATCTAATCAATACGAGAAAATAACCTCCGTGAGTAGAAAGTGAATCGTCTTGATACATAAAAGGAGCTACCAGTCTAGATCTTTGATACGGGCATGACTATTAATAGATGATCCCAGTCAAAGACAACATTTTAAAACCTCTTTACCTTCAAGATACCACTACAGGTCAAATCTAAACAATTTTAGATAAATATACAGTGATTCGCTACTCATTTAATATCAGTACACAGCATTAAAAAAAAGTTACCAAACGATTCTCTATCAGATATACTCCTTCGATCAAAATATCACACTTCTAACTTGATCACGAATAAAGTTTCCTCCCTAACTTAATGAGCACTCCTGCTCCTTGTCATACAAGTCAATTAGCCCATTATAACTGAATACTCTGACACCGCAACGAATAAACTGGATTTTCCATGTGATGTAGATATACTCAACTATAGATAAGGAAAATCGATATAATACTCTCTGCCTTAAATTACGGATAATTAAGTGTTTTATAATCAGAGGACACTTAAAAATAGAAATGAAATATAGTTATGAATATTTTTTGCCTAGTTGTATCTCGGGGTTGCGTTTTGATTGTGAATTTTTCATTGTCCTTCAAGACGACATCTTCAGTGTTAACACCAGTGTGAAGTGAGTGATATAACTATCCCTCCTGTGATCGACCACCCTCAAACGTTTTCTTCTCCTTGTGATATTATTGGTATTGATTGTTTCGTTGATCTGGTATTCAGTCTTTTCGCAAAGTAACTTGTTTTCTATGGATGAATTTAACCTACGTTAACAAGTATGCTGAGGGAAGATTGATCTACGAATTTTCTGGTGTTTGTAGTATTTTTGCAGTTTAGAATCTTAGCATTTTTCTATTCACATTGGTGTCTCTACTTTTCCATACTTGTTGACAAGAAAATGTGCACATCGTGTCTTCTGACAGCTAGAAATGGTCTTAGATATGAGGTCGAAAACGGCATTCGCTTTGGTTACAGCTGGTACAATTTACTTTATAGTTGATCTTGTCTTCTTCATAGAAGTGATTTCAAAATATCTCTAAATATGATAGAATGCAATGAATTTTTTTGTGGTTTTCAAGGATGGTCTTTTACCGGTAATTTAATTTGAACATATATACTTCTTGATAAATTTGCGGGAGTATCCATTCTTATAAAGATGGACCAGAGATATTTCTTTCCCATCTTCCTTAAGAGTAGGGTACTGCAGCATATTTTGGTTCTTTTGACTGGTGTTTATGCAATGAAGTTAGCACTGAGTAAGTTATCTGGAAGGATGATGAAAGCTTCGTAATTAAACCAGTTAGATCAGAGAATACAACCACACAAAAGACAACCATATGATTTACAAACCTTATGCATTATAGTTCTGACTAGTAACTGAATATTAAACACTGGTCGGTGCAGCATAAAAGCGGTGAATAAAAAGTTATTGGTTCAAATTTAATTACACATTTACAGAATTATTCGACTAAAGCTACTGTGAGCGGTTGATGCATTTGCTGTCTTTTATTGTATTACATCAGCATACATTCAGTAGCCACTAGGGAGTGACACGAGTCTGAATCTCAGAAAAGAAGTCAGTACCTTCAAGGTTGAAGATATGCCTTGTTGATGAGGGCCAGAAAGCAAGAAACCTAGATCTCAGGAGTCCTATCGACTGCCTCAAACCAACTAAAATTATGTTATTATTCATAAATCGAAATGAAACATCAATCAGTTTTCTAAAATAAACACTTACTGATATTTTGAGGGGTTCACTACATTATAAAGTACTTTAAGAATCTCATGGATATATATATGTATATTTCTATATACATATATATATATACATAAACATATGCATGTATATATGTACAAAAGATACTCCAAAAATCCTGGTGATTATTGCTTACTCAACTGTACAAAAACAGTCCAATCATCAATTTCTTCTCTGTAAACACTTATTTTGTTATCGTAACTTGTAGAGACTAAAACCTGAACGAAAAAAGATGTTACAAACAAAAATAATAAAGAACAAATACAAGCTAATGACCTTGAATGAAAAATAAAATAAATGTTACCCAACAACCATTTGCAATTCCACACAGTTGACATTAAGCTAGTGTGATACTACCTGACTACGCAAACCTTGGTAGGTACAGCGAAGTTGGAACCTGTGACCCACTGATTGGAAGTCGAGCAGCTTGACCAATGAGTCACACCTTCACTACGTTAGTGATTGTGCAGAATTATCATTCAAAATTAGTAGCATTGGTGTGAAGAAACGTACCACAGTGAACAATAAGACAACACCATTGAGAAAGAAAACTTTATAACACTTCCAATAACAGAACAAACAAGGAAACCGTAGACCACTATCACCATTGACTTCACTTCTGAGTCACTTCATAATTTGTACAGCTGAGTCAGATCATCTTACGAACATCCAAAAGTTGTGAAACACCAACACAAGTATCCTTCATCCGAAAATTCTTTTTCCAACTAGTCCCGAGGGCAGAAAATACTAGATAGCTGCGCGGACGACATTTACAACAGATGTACATACTATCGCAGATTATATCTCGAAATGAGATCACTTATTGAAAGACAATCTCCACATTGCCAGAATACTCGCTATTAAACATCGGAATTACTTATACATTTTGGCCAGTGGACACAGGCAATAACTGAAAGCCAAATCCCACAGAGAAGTATGCGCCAAAGAACTATAGGCTTGACGTGATGTCACAATAGGACGAGAAATGATGTAAAATTCATATTTTCGATTTTGGCTCTCATATACTACTAAACATTTCATTTGTCACACCTCCAGCAGCAATTACACAAACCCTTAGACTACTTTTAACAGTTCGTACACGACAGTGGTATGGAAAGACATAAACTTTTTCAAAGCACTTAATTATTTGTGGCTTCATCATTAAAGTAATAAGAACTAGTCACACAAAAATGTTAATCTCACATAATAGTCAATATGATTTTCCGCTGAGATGTCCCACTAAAAAAGTTAGACTACCTTTTTGAAAGTGATAACACATCAATCTTTTATGGCAATAAACTACTAATCAAAGCTACCTTGATAAGAATTCAACGATACAATGTACAATGCCTCAATTCGGTAAGACTGTTTCTAAATGTTGGACTGACCACTACGATTCAACTAACTGGGGTTGAACGAACACATAGAATTTTTTTTAATACTTTTAGCAATGTGATATGCTTACTGTGTATACTCTAAAGCTTTCTTGTGAACTGAAGGCTAAATTATACCTGCAGTCTGCTGACTGGAAACCTGCTACAAACCAACTTCAACTACCACCATACTAAATTTAATTTACTTCTATTGACATATCTCAGTTATCATGACTTTTGGCAAGATCATAAGTCTGCATTGTATAGTAAGACTTACTAAAAACATTTCCAATCAATTCTGGGATAGAACAGTAAAGAACCAAGTTATTTATCATCTTATTTGTCGAATATTTCATAAAAATGAAGACCAAGGCTACTTGTTGAATTCGCTTAAATAGGCAACAATGAATTTCCCTCACGATTAAAAATATGTTGGGCAGATTTCTAAAATTTGAGAATTAGTTCTTACAGTTGCACACAAACCATCTAGTATTACTGCTACAGCAGTAGCCACGAGTATGTAAGCGTAAGCCATGACAATCATTTAGGAAGGCGAAATATTCCAGCTATTCAATCCGGAAATATCACAGAGTATACATATGCTCAGTATAACATTCTAAAGCAGTGAACCATAAAATGAACAAATAGATTTCACCAAGTGTTTCTCATACAGAATATTAGCTACATCTTGAGGGAGTAAAATAACTAAAGGAATAAGATTATACCCAGTCTTTTGCGATGGTTTAATATTTAGCATTCGAACTAAATGTGGAGATGTTGCCCACTGCCATTTGGCTTCCAGTCAGTGAGTCTCGGGTTCGAATCCCACTCCACCTTAGTGACTAGGTAGTATTGACAGCTCTCACACAAGTGTGGCTTATAACCTGGAACATGAAAGAACTGTTCCGAGACCTGAGTTCCAACAAACGAGCAAAATTCAGACTAAATGTTTACCCATCTTTGCACCTAATTGTGTGACTTTCCTTTACTTGTTCATTCATTTTGATGGTTTCTGATTTACAGACTGACTAAACGGCTAAATATGAGGAAAACTAACATTAAGAAATGCAGCTACACTTATTATGTTGTGTGGAGTAATAACATTTACAGTTCACTTGAAACTATATATATATACATATATATATACAAACCTGATACAGAAAGAGCACAGAAATGATTGTGTAAAGCAGTACAACTGTTACCCCCTCCAAACCTACCTCACCATGCGGATGCCACGCTACTGATTTTACATCTTGAGAATGGGGTTGTAGCACACTAACGCACTGCACGTCTTCTTCATCATCAAATTCCCACAGCCATACACTTTTATCTCGACCACAGGTGGCTAAAAGATGACCAGAAGGGGACCAAGCAACGCATTTAACCTCGCTCGTATGTCCTAATATTTAGAAGGAGAAATTAATGATAAAAGACTCACTATCACAGGCATAAACATAAACATCTTCATATATTAGGCTTAGCCAACTAAATTTATCAGAGTAATATCACGAAAATGTGTTTAACAATAAAGCATAAAGAAAGTCCTTTTTAGCTTTCAGTGAATAAATTCGAATTCTGGTAAACAATAAACATTGTGCATACATTCCTCCAGTTCGGAAGGACACAACGTGTTAACATGAGAATCTTAAATATGGATGCCCATCAGAAAAAGAAATAAAACGGAATGTATACTACGAAATATAGGACTTACACCCCTACTACCTAAGCATTATATATATATATATATATATATATATCCGTGCACATAAATTGCCTGACTTATATGCTGCAACAGCCCAATCTACAAAAATTAGTTTCAAGATTATAGTCTTGTCATTCTGGAAACCATAATGTCCTAGATATTCGACCATACGATGGTAAATTATACAGCGAATGGGATGGAAGACAACTTTCCTTATGACGGCATGTAAGTTTTGACAATATTATATTTTTTTAAACACCCATTATCCTTATAACTATGAGTACTGAATGTTTTCTAACAAACCAAAACAGAATAGATAAAATACCAAAATTTCGCAAGTTTGAAAGTGTGATTCTTAAAATTATCCTGGATTCTCAACAAGGACAAGACAAGCCCACATGTCTTCCGGGACAGAAAATTAACGGTATGATTGCGTAATGGTTACTATTATTAATAGTAGTATCGATTCTTTGCTTTCTCAGTGGAATATATGGCTTGACCGCAAATCTTCATTCAACCCGCTTCTCTGCCATCACTTTTAGTCGATTCCAAGACTGTTAACAAGGCTTTATCTAGTCTAGACATGATCTTCTCTAAGTTATCTTAGGATAGAGTGGCTTTTATTATTACCCAAAAGACCCACAACTGTGTTAGAGCAGACAGCTAGTCGTAAGTGCGCAAAAACATTCAATAATAATTAATTTTGTAGATATATCAGACTTGTATTTATGGACATGTTTCTTATCATCTGAAGCAAGTGAAGCAAAAGGGACATTCCCACTGGATGAAAATGTTAAATACATGTTGAAACATTTGGGGAATACAGAGCACAGCAGTCGTTTCGATAGACTTCGAGAATATTCAGAGGTGTGAAGTCACGATATGTGAGACATGATTCCTACACCAATTGGGCTTTTAGTAAACACAGTTACTATCCAAACAGTGGATTGGAATTCGATGGCTTCTGATCACCAACATCTACTATTTCGCCGCGTGATACCATCGTCACCTGGAAACATGGACAAACAACCGTCTTCACATTCTACATGGCAGGTGCTATTTGTGAATTCCACATGCAGATTTGGAAGTTTCGTCTAAGCTAGTCAATAAGTGGTAATGAACTTACAATCAGTTTATGTTCTTGAAGGGAGTGACCTCAGAGATTTCGTCATTAGAATAAAATAACTATCCAGAAGTTTTTGATGTTCACTTGTTCTTTAGATAACCCAGTCTGCCTCGAAATCAGTCAATTCATGTACAGTTATAAAGACCTAGGTGGGTTTTACTACTATCTGCACTTATAACCCCGATGAAATACTTCACTACATACAATACGTCGAATATACGCCACAAAAGCTTACTTTACTCTAACACATTGTTGCGAAGGTAAAGATATTCAGGCTTGTTGTTGCTAACAGTTTACGTATTTGTCTGACAAATTTCCTTCTCTTCTTTCTGCACTTTCCTCCTATACTTCATAATTAAGAGGCTAAGATGTGGAAATCTAGACAGTTGCACGGTGACGCCAATCACCACGACGATAAGGTTTCTTAATCAAGAAGTAAATACCATTTTCATTTTCAAATCGACTTATAACTATGGCTTTAAACTAACATACAGGATTATTAATATTTAACGACACACCAATCTGGGCGTATTGAGTTAATAGTAATTTCTTTATAAAAATCCTGAGTAATAATAATGTTAAACGAGACACCATTTGGAAAATTACATGATAACTGCTGGCTGGTTATAAAATAAGCATTACAAAACAATCACCGACTCGACACAGACATACCTTCTAAAGTCACCAATGCCTCCATCTCCAATTCTGAAACCTCCTTAGGTATCTTCCAAATTGCAACCGAACCATCAAAACTTGCAGAAGCTACATAGGAACCACAAGGTGACCAGGTTATACATCTGATAGATCTTTTGTGGGCCTCAGGAAGCGAGAAAGATGGTCCCCACAAATTGTCTTGACTTTTAACCCACAGTCTAATTATTCTGTCTTCTCCACATGAAGCTAATAATGACCCTTTGTAGTTCCAACTGACAGACCACAATCTCTTGTTGCTCGCTTTTAGTCTTTCTTCCTCATGGACAACAATCATGTAAGCCGCAGAAAAACGTGGTTCAATTGAACGGGTAACCTTGAGCGACCTTATCAAGGTGAAATTTCTGGTAGCCTTCAATTCTGTTGCAGGAGTTAACAGGACTAAACTTTGCGCGTTTCCAGAGTTTCAGATGACTTTTTCCACTCTAAACATAGCTTTCATTCAATATATCATGCATATAAAACTTGGTTTTCTTGTCACTGGCTTCTCGGCGTTTTGGAATGGGGCTAGATTATCAGTAGACTAGTGCCCAGAAGATTTATCCTTTCGAGTTCGGTAAAAGAGGGTTGAATTAGTTTATTTGTTTTCAGAAGAGATATACAGCTTCTACCAGAGAAAAGAAACTACTTGAACTGTAATATTTCGTCTGCTCAAGCAGTCCCCCAAATAAGTTGCAAACACTCCTTGAGATATGGCATTAAAATGATGGAGGGGGAGCCAATAGAATGGGTAGACGAAAACTAATGAAGACGACAGGAAGCTGAAAGGTTTGAATGGGTCAAAAATGTGGTAAATTTGCACTGGTACTACAGTCCCCAAGAACTGGTTGGGACTTACAGTGGATCTGATTTATCTAGACATTTGATGACTAATGTTTTATTCATTTCTTCTTTCACAGTATCGCACTTCTACTCCTCATGGTACTGGTTTTGAGTTGATCCTCTTTCGGTTTTGACTGAACTTTAATCAATCCTGTTTTAGGGGTTGCAGGTATCGACGTTCGCGAGTTGTACGGAGTATACTAACGCAAGATCTTATACCAACAACTTCTATAGTGTTCGCACTTCGAGTACCAAAGATAAAGCAAAAGACCAGATTTAGTCGTGCAAAGTAAGTAGTTTATTTTAGGACCAAATCGCGGGTTGAAGTGAATGCTTAGCTAGCTAGTAATCTTGCACGCACGTGACACGACGGAGTACCAAATAACGTGGATGCTTGACCGGAAGCCTTCAGCTAAACAAGTCGACTTAAACAGTGAGGGTCAGTATCCAATGTTGAGTGATGATTGCTGTGGTTAATAATTTTGGGGAATTATTTACCGCTACACTGTCAATTGTGTTACATCACCGAGTTTAAATAATTTTGCTTTCATTTCTAAGTGAACAATATTACTGTGTTGTGCAGTTCCCTTCAGAAGCTCCTGACTGCTATCTAATACTCATAATTTGGTGACACATCCCTGGAAACATTCATTCTGTTGCTGCGATCTTTGTATATATATACGCCACAGTTTCTAAATGTTGAGTAAGGCGACCAACTGGCAGTCTAAATACTAACACGAATGCTGGAAGTTATTGCCCAAAGTCAGTTCATTGTGGGACTGTTTAGAGAATTATTCCCACTCAAGTTTACCAAGGCCAGTATATAGGCTGTGCTTATGACACTCCATTGTGTTATTAGAAACGATTTAGCCACTCCAGCTGATAAAATTCTAGAATTGTTACAACGACTAATCACGGAAATGTCCTCTCTCTAAATGTTCACCAAACACTCTTCGAGTAGTGACACTGAAATCGCAGAGTTATGCAACTCCGTTAAGCGACTGCTTAGGCCAAAACGCCCACATATTCCTCCTACCGGCAACGGAATTCCCCTCACAAGCGAAACTCACTTGGCCGGTCAAAATCTAAACCCTTACTTGTCTTGGTATCACAATACCTATGACCAGGGAGAAAAATGCTCCTGAAAACCCTGTAATTTTGGCAAAGACTGTAAGATTACAGGGAACTACTCCACTTGTAGCGGTAACCACCTACTTTACATCCACGATGTAGTCAAAAATACCCAGGACTTGGTTGACACAGATGTCGCAGTTGGCATCCTACCTGCTACAGAAGCAGGTCAACAGAAAGAACCTACCTCCAACTTACTGACTGAGAACGGAAAACTTATTGCGGCGTTTGGTAAGAAATATGTCTACTTGAACGTAGGTTTACGCAAACCTATTCAGTGAATTTTCCTCCTTTCTGACGTCACAATGCCTATCAAAGTCACGGGCCTACTTCATCATCATGATCTACTCATAGAGGTCCGCTGCAAACGACCGATAAATGGTACCACTAGGCTGTCTTTTAAAGGCATCACCTAAGTAGTTCACTGGTTAAGAAGAAGGCGATAGATGGTCCAACTTTTCAGCCGATCATTGACAAGAACCCGGAACTTAACTGCCCTTCTAACGATCTACCACGCATAGCCAGCAATGTTATGCACCATATCACAACCCGACGACTTGCTCCTGACAAACTGCAACTGACGAGGAATGAATTGTACTATGTGCTCCTCCTTGCCATCATTCGGCCGCCGAACAGCACATGAACATCCCCACTAGATAAGTTACCCAGAAATGATACTAACAATTTTGTAAATATTGCCATTATTAATATCAGAAGACATGTGAGCGAAAAATGTTGTTTTTAATCAAATCCTCTACATGCTTTACTCTTATTTACATGGATTTAAACATAAAAATTTTAACCAGCGACGGTGAGTTTGTAGATCAAATAATGATGATAATAATAATGTGGTGATTCTTCTGAACGTCAGTAATAATGGCGATTATAATGGTAGCAAAGTGATGATAATAAGGTTAATGCGCCTGGCGATGGGAATAACAAAGGTAGTAATACATGCATATGTAGACAATTCAATAAATAAATTATGCCAAACCTTAAAAGTTACGTAATACTAAAAATGGAATGGACAGATAATCAGATCTGAAATAAATATTACTAAAACTCAAAAGAAACGGAAAATAAGATGGGTGGCTTCAAGTCCTGTTCAACTTCAGTCTTACTGTAGATCTGTGCGACTTCCACTACAAGGCAAATATAAGAGAATGGGCGAGCAGCAAAGTACCACAGAGGAAAGAGATAGCATGTGGAAACGGACGGAACTCTGATGTTTTGTATATATATATGTCTGCACTATATTTCTACACGTTGCAAATTTCCGTCTAGTAAACCTGTATGTTCGTTTCTACTTGGTCTTTTTATACATCTATGCGACTATCCTGATTATCGTTTATAGACGAAAAGGGAGGTTTTACGTGTTCTTTAGGTACTATAGTAATCTCATAACTGATACGTTCTGCAAAAAATAGTTATTTAATGTAATCAGTAGAACGAAACAGTCTGTGCAGAGAGCGTTTGAAACTTATAACCGAGGTGCAGATTCTGACTTCTTGGGGCAAGCCGCTCCATCTTTTAGAAAACATGACTCTGAAGGAGTTTTCGCAGTGTTGATTTAAAGACTTATTGTCACTATTCAAGTTTGATTACGCAGATTGTAAGGGCCTTCCGGTGACAGTTGTACGTCCTTGTTGCCTGAGAATTATATTTTGTCTTGGATCCTAAAGAAGAATATAAGTTTTAAAATAAGTCGTCTTGTCCAAAGTGGGTCAAGATTTACAATCACGCACCGTGAGATGTAGTCTTTCTTACAATCGTAGCCAAGTAGTTTGGAGGCGAAATATCGTCGGATACTTTCCATCCTTAGCTTGTCACATATGCGAGTGCTGCTAATAATAAATGGACAGTATTCTAGTAGTGACCTTACACATGTTTTGTATAGAATGAGCTTGGCTTCATTGTCGTGAAAGTTCCTGAGTATGCATCCAAAGAGCATTCTCGATTTTCAAGTCCGTGATGCCACTTGCTCAGAAAATGTTGCGTTACTCGAGTACCTCAGACCTAAGTCAACGACACTTCGGAGTCTGGGTAGGTTGGCAGATTGAAGCGTTAATTTCATGTCGATTGGAATGCACCGAAGCAGATCCAACCACATTTGTCCAGATTAAATTGTAGATTCCACAAAGACGACCAAGCAGTCACTTTATCTAATTCTTCCTGCACAACATTCTCAAAGTACCCTAAGTCATCACCTTGGAATGTATGAGCTACTTTTAGATCATCTTCAAAAATGAATGGTTTCCCATGTGAGAGGCAAGCGCATATGTCATTGATATATAGTGTAAATAGGAGGAGTTCAATGACACTACCTTGTACTACACCAGAAGTGATTGGGCCCATGTCTAACTATTTGAGGCCTGTTGTTAAGGAATGGGTCATGTGTTCCTAAGGGGTTGAGCTTATGTATTAGCAGTAAATGGTCGACACGGTCAAATGTTCTAGAAATATCAAGGTAGGTGACAAGCACTAGTTGTTGCCTGCCTCGATTACTGGTCACAAAATTAAAGGAGTCTAGGTGACATGTTAAACATGACCTGTATTTTAGGAATCCATGTTGGTTCAGAATAATATTGAGGCCAAGCATATGCTTCATTATATATATTTATTTATTTATTCCTGTTTATGCAGGAACATACCAATTGTACAGGCATGGATAAGTTATTATATAAATTACACATATTTCGATGTATGCTGAATTTACAGTCTGTTTGTTCTTTTTGACATTTGAGTCAGTCGGAATAGTCTGCTTAATAGTCTGTCTGTGTAACACATAAAGAGATATAGAAATATTGTCCTCGCGTTAACAAAAAACCCAGACATCAGATGAGTGTAATATAAATATCTGGGGAAAATAAAGCTTGAAGTCAATTCTCCTATTTAGCTTTGTTGTGAACAGCATCCTTGAGTTAAAGTTAATTGATGTATTATTTTGAGGTCTGTGATGTATTTATTCCATTTTTTAACAATCTAATCGTAGTTTTATAATAGGAAAGAAATTTGATCGTGGATAAGAAAACTAAATTAGGTCATGTTGGATTGTTTTACTGTATAGAATGGGGCCGAGGTCGGTTCCAAAACTATCCATAGGCGCCATTTGTGTCTGCATGACAGACTGTACAAGTAAGTTGAGTAATACTTTGAAAACTGTTTGAAAACCAGTTGCTTCTTTATTTCAGATCAAGAATACTCCTTGATCAGAATGTTAGCCAGCATCTTCAAATGGTAGCATCGGATCGTTCATGGAATTTGAGTGGTTATGAGTTAAATGTTCTGGAATCCAGCCTCTTTTTTTAATGTAGGGTTCTTCGACCTCGACCTGGAGGAAATTAGAAGTGTTATCATTAATTAGTCCCCCCATAATTCTAGATGCTGTAGGTGTGACATTGATAGACCTGTAGTTGTTGACTTCTGTTTTCGAGCCGCATTGGTGTTTTTGTATAATTAATGTCGTTTCCCATTTATCCGG